TTTGACCACTGTAGTCATGTAAATTTTGAAATCAGGGAGTAAGAGGCCTCCAACTTTGTTCTTCTTCTTAAGCAGTGCTTTGCTTATCCTGGGTCTCTTTCCTTTCCATATAAAGTTTGTATTTGTTTTTTTCCATCTCTCTAAAGAATGTTGTTGGAATCTGGATTGGGATTGCATTCTAAGTGTAAATTGCTTTGGGCAGTGTTGACCTTTTCACAATGTTAAGTCTTCCTATCCTGGAGCGTGGTATATTCTTCCATTTTTGTAAGTCTCTTTTGGTTTCTTGTAGTAGTGTTTTGTAGTTGTCTTTGTACAGTTCTTCTGTGTTCCTGTAAAGATTTACAGCCTTGGAAACCCTATACAGGGTCGCTATGAGTCAGAATCGACTCCACAGAACACAATCACAATCACCACCATATTCCAGGATTCCTGCTGTGATGCCAGAGAACTGCTAATGACAAAGACGGCAGTTCAAACCCACCAGCCACTCCTCAGAAACTCTACATAGGGTCACTGAGTCAGAACTGACTCTTTGGTACTATAACAACATATTCAGTAAAAATATTATATACAATAGTAGATACCCAGCTGATTCCAAAAAGCCCAACTTTTGCACTCAGATCTGTTCTACATGTGCAGCCTCAGCCTCTCATTCATTCAGTAAATGCCTATTGAGCACCTCTTGGACACTGTGTGTCAGGTGCTGGGGATATAACGGTGAACATACACTCTTCATGCGCGGGGCACACGACTGGCCGACCCAACAAAACTGAGCCAAGACCTGGAGGAAGGGGCAGGGAGTGCAGGGCCTTAACCAACAGGAAGAGTACTACAACACTGAGTCACCAGAGAAGAGCAGCAAGGATTCTAGGTGGAGTGACTCTGGAGTGCTGTTAACCTATAGGGAACGGTTCCTGCTGGCATGGGAGCAGAATACATTGGAAGCATTGGGTGGGAAGCAAGGAGCCTGAGGAGGAGGCCACAAGTGATGCTATAGGCCAGGTTCCAGGATTGGATGTGGACTAGGGGCTGTGGTGAGACTGGACGTATTGAGAAGGCAGTGTCTGAAAATGAATAATGGACAGGACAAGGTATGAAGCATGCCCAAGAGGAGAGTCCAGATTTGCCAAAGGACAGACGTGGGATAAGAGCCAAAGATGGCTCTGTGGAAATGGGCAGAGTTGATACAAGGACGAGCTGCCACTAATGAGAAGGGAATCAGAGCAGGAGACCAGTGAGCCAAAGGCAGCCCGTACCTTCTGGAAGAGGTGCTGAGCGTGAAATTGATAGTATGGGGCTATGGTTGGAGCTGAGACTTCAGGTACACATTTGGAAGTCCTGGTGTGGCGCTGTGGAATAAAGCACTGGACCACACCCCTTGAGAACCCTATAGAGGGTCACTATTAGTCGGACCAAGTCGACGGCACTGACCACCACCAGCAGCAGGTGCATGAACTTCTTTAGAAGCCCTGAGGCTGGGTAAGATAACCAGTGGCCAGACACGTGGCAATGAGGCCTGGGAACGGACCTTTGGGCTCAGCAACGTGGTGGTGGCCTGTGGTGTTGGCAAGAGCAATTTCAATGGGACTGGGCTGCAAGTCTGTTGAAAACAGTAGATACATGTGAAGAGGACTCTGAAGACTAGCTGCAAAGGTGAGATGTGATGGTTAGGGAGCCCTGCTGATGCCGAGAGTAAGCAGGAGGGGCTGGATGGAGGCTGGTTATGGGCACAAAAGATGTGTCTTCCCATGAAGTGGAGGAACAAAAGGGTTGGGAAGTGTCATAGCAGCAGCCAGGTCAGTGGGAAGTGACGGTCTGGTGGCTGGGCCTTCTCCTCAGGTATCTTCTACGTCTTTCACCTCATGGGAGGGCAACTGCATTCAGGTACAGCAGATGACAGGGCAGCCTCAGACAGACTGCCATCGCCATGTCCTAGCCATTCCAGTGGCCTGTGAGGCACTCTAGGTGTGTGAGGAACCTAACAGCTAGAGCACAACCTGTCCCAGGACAACACAGTTGGAACAGTTAGAAACTGTTGGCGGTCTTAGAGGAAGGTGGGGACTGTGTGTGAAACGAACTCCTAGTCATAGACTGTGACAAACCCTGTCAATTCTAACTGCAAAATGCTGCAGACCTGTGTGGGAGGGAGTACAGTGGAATGTCCCTTCCCCAGTACCCAGCAGCCCACAGCCCAGGAGGCAAGTTCCCCGAAACCAGACAACCTGGCACAGTACTCTGCAGGGCATGGCAGCTCAACCTGCATCTAAGGCTGGAAGAGCAGAGCAAGAAGGAGCAGGCACCAGAATGAAATAGTAGTGGGGTTTTTAACTTACACTTTTAAAAAGTCATTTTAGGGAGAAGACAACCCACCCTCATCTTTACAATGTCTTGGGATAGTTCAAGGAGCAGTCACTTTTTGGTCCAAAATCGTTTGTACCGCTCCACATCAAAGTCGTCCTTAAGCTCTGGCTCCTCCGTCTTTTTTCTGAACGTGGCCTCACGTTTCCGGAACCGAGCCTTTCTCTCTTCAGGAGACAGGTGGTCAAGGTCTATAGGCATCTGTGGAAGAAATCCAGAAATAGCAGGGATACCCTGAAATGACTCAGAAGGGAGCTGAGCCAGAGAAACAGCCAACATTGGACTGATCTAAGGTGAATTTATACAAGCCTTACTGAAATGACACTTCTCCAAATCTTTATTTTTATTCAACCATAGTTTAATTTTACATATTCTATTGGTTTTTCTCTCCCTTCACAGCTTTCCCCCTCCACATCTGACTTTTTTTTGCATATACAACTCATCAATACTGTCTGAATTTAGGCCTTAAAATGAGCTTGGCTTTTCCTAACACAGAGCCCTTATCAGTCAAAACCTTCTTCCTTCCCCGATGATCTGTGACATCATCTGAAGCTGTCTGATTTATTCTGGGCCAACTGGCCCAGGACCCCTAGGAAGTGTAGTTCCTCTAGAACAGTTCTTTTCATGGGGGCTTGTTGTGGTATGAACCCAAGGGGCTCCTTCTGCCTCTGCCCCTCCACCCCCTGGCCTGGCCCTTACCGCAAGCATGCGCCGTGGCTCCCTGTAGCGGATGTGGATAGTCGAGCCGTCCTGCTTGACCAAGAGTACAGGGTAGAGGCGTGCGTAGGCCTGCCTGTGGAGTCTTGTGAACGAGGCCCTGTTGCAGTCAGCTCGCCCAAGGGATGTGTGTAGGTGGCAGAATGAGGGCACAGCTCTTTGCATGAAACTCTGCCACTGCAGGCTGCAGGAAAGCATGCAAGCAGCAGGTCAAAGAACCTCAACGTGGCACAAAGTCTATCAGCCTGTATCTCAGGGTCATCACAACTATAGATATGGGTGGGAAGCTCCCTGCAGGTATATAATGTGTCCCAACTTGGTGTTCTGTCACTAGTAGAGGGAGAAGCCTCAAGTGCTGACTGCACAGGGAAGCACCCAGTGGAAGGCAGTGATGCTGAACATGAAAACTGCCTACTGCAGGCCATCAGGCCAGGTTCCTGAGAAGAGAGGGGAGCAACCTCAGTGACGGGCCTGGAGGTGGGGGCTGCAGATGAACCTGCCCTGTTTCAGTTGTGGTGCTGTGTGCACGATGACACTAACAGGCTTGTTGAGCCATGTTAAGCATGAAACATGCTGGGAGTGGGTGGACCTGAAAGCTGCAGGCTGTGGTCAAAGCTCCTCTTGCTCCACTGCCAGGAAGATGCTAGTGTGTGAGGAGTGAGTGCATGAGGCTCTCTAGACAGCTCAGGCTTCACCCAGCCCATCTATTTGTTGGAGAGATCTAGCTGGCTGGCCAGGTAGACAGTGGGACTCTGGATTCCAAGGGAAAAACACAAACACAATGTGTTGTCCACTTAGCTTCCGAACATGGCTGGCATTCAGCCTTCAGATCACACACAGCAGAAAGCACACACTCTGAAGTGACAGGAGAGAGAAAGGTACCCTGCCCCAGCTCAGCCACTAACCCACATGCAGGCCTCAGCTCCCTCATTTTAAAGTCCCTTCTGGCTCGGAGATTCCAGGATTTACCCAAAACTTGAATTTAAGACTCATTCCCCGGCCATTCCAGTCTTTCCCTTTTCCTCTAAGCTTGAGGAATAAAATGTCTGAAACATTTCCGAGCTTTCTTAGAACCACTGTATAGCCCAAAGTGGCCTCATTTTCCTGTTAGGCAACATGGACCTTGGTCATGGTCACCCCTGAAGTCTCCTAACTCATAAATTATCAGGTCCAGTTCATTTCTTTCCTTGAATTATTCTCAAGTTCCCTCTCCTCCACCCTTCACATTTCGGTACATCAGCATCTAGCTCAGCTCATCCTAACAGCCTCCCATTTGGACCCTCCACTGCCACTGAAGTCTACACACACACAGAGCAATTTCTCTAAAAACCAGTCTGCTTACATCAGGCTGATGGCTCTCACTGCTCTCGGGATAAAATGCAAATTCTTGAGCTGTCCATATAGCTTTCCAGATCTCTTCAATCCCATCCTCTCCTTTTATAAGCAGCCAGTCACAAACACAGCTACACACACTATCTCTCTGCCTGGGACTCCATCTTCATTGTGGTTTCCCCACACCCTGCCCTGCCCACAATTGTACTGGCCCTGTATGTTCATTCCCTCCCACTGGACTGTGAGGTCCTGGGAAGAACTGCATCATAATTACTGTTAAGCCCCAGACCCTAATCATGGGGCTCAGTAAATTTTGGCTACATGAGTCCAGGCCTTGCCTTCAAAAGTGCATAAGAAGCACATCAAGAGATGCATGGAGACAGGGAAGAGCACCAAACAGTACATGAGCTCCAGAGCTAGAAGATGCCACAATCTATGGCGAGAGCTAGGGGGCCCAGAGAGTAGCTCCAGAGAATGTGGGCCATTGGCTTGGAAAGGCTTTTTGGGAGCGGGATTGGAGTTGAACCTTGAACTAGATGTTTTCCAACCACTAGCAGCAGTTCCAATACAAAACTTCCCAAGTATGAGAGTCCTCCAGGAAATACGGAAGCCCAGAGTCCTCTTTTATTGCCACATGCTGCTAGCCAAATTCCACAGTGACATGAACCTGTGCTCTAATTTTTTCATTCTGTGAGCATATACCTGTACTCCTCACTTTGGGGAGATGAGGGGCTGAGGGGAAAAGGCAGACAATGAAGAAGTTCTGATGGGGATGACAGGAAGGCCCATGACATTCTCTCACTGGGTTGTAGGATTTGAATAAGAATGTGGGGACAACCACCACCACCATCTATTTCATACTAAATACTCAAAAGTCATTTCTATTTCTCCTTCAACACCTTTTGAAGGGGTGTATGTGTATGCATTTTCCAGAAAAACCCACAATGGCTCAGGGAGGTTTCCCATGGCAGCACAGCATAAGTGGGCATTCACATGAGTGACCCACGACATTAAGTCCAAGAACCCTGGAAGACCATGCTTACCCAGACAGGCTGCCCACAGTGGCCATTCCTCCTTTGAGTCCCTGTAACATGTGGAGGTAGTCCCTGGCCCTGGTATGTGACCTGCTAGACAAAGGAAGAAGAGAACAACAAAAAAAGAAAGATGGAAACATTTAAATGATTCTTGTTTAATTCCAGCCACTAATGAAATCAGACCCCAATACATTTGACAGGCATTCTCAGCAGGCCATTATCCAGTCTCTCACAACCCTATGTGGGAGTCTCAACCAGATTTGGCATTAAAATCACCTGCAGGTTTTTTAAAAAAACACCATGTCCAGGTTCTAGAGCCTTGGTGGTGCAGTGGGTTAAGCACTGGGCTGCTAACCACAAGGTTGGCTTTTCAAACCCATCTTGTGATGAGAGATGAAGCTGTCTGCTTCCATAAAAGATTTACAGTTTCAAAAACCCTAAGGAACAGTGCTACTGTCCTATAGGGTTGATACGAGTCAGAATCAACTCAATGGCAGTGTGTTTAAGTTTTTGAGTTTTGGTCCCAAAGATTCTGACTGTCCATGGCAGGGCCCAGCTGATTCTGGTGGGTTAGAGCCTAGGAGTTACGGAAGATGTTCAGAGGATGGGATGTAATGTAAAAACACTTTTTTAAGGAAAAGTCTTTTATTGTGAATTGAGTAAAGGTTTACAAAGCAGATGATCAGTTTTATATTCAACAAATCATACATTTTGTTTGCTTCATTACAATGATTGCAATCCCTTCCATGTATCATCACTTAAGTCTACTTTTATTTACTTTAACTCTTGCATTCCACCCTGTGTCTCTTGCTATGGGGGGAATCTGATGTTCACTGGAAACCTGATGGGATGTAGTGAGCACAAAGTTTTTTGAAGAGCTTCAAAATCAGTCAGCCCTAGCTACCCTGTGAGCAGACGTCTAGTGGTATTGCAGGGAAAAATTATCAGGGCTTTACCAGCAAAATTGGAATGGTGCCTGTGCTTTGGTGCAAATGGCCATCCTTTTCACCTTGGTATTCCATCAGCTGTCAACCACAGAAGACAGGCATAGGTCCAAGAGAAGTGTAGCTACTCCCCATGGCTCTTTTGATCCCTGTGTTTATATAGACAGTACTGGAGTTCCCCCAGGGGTGCCAAGTGAATTCAAAGCAAGAAACCAAATAACTGCAGGGTTTGAATCTGTATTATTCTGGTGGTCAACCATTAGCAAAAATGTGGACTGGAGTCCTGGTGTGGCGCTGTGGGTTAATGTGCCAGACTGCAAAGCTGTTTGAACTGCAAGGCTGGTGGTTCAAGCTCACCAGTCACTCCTTGGAAACCCTATACAGGGTCGTTCCGCGTCAGAACCTACTCGATGGCACTTAACAACTACAACATTATAATCAACAAATATTCACAAATTATACCAGAGATGCTACAAAAGGAATAGCAGAGCAATTAGGACCTACTAGCAAAATGGCCTGGGAAAACAGGGTAGTCCTAGAAATGATTAGCAGAAAAAGAAGGAGTATGTGTTATAATTGGAGTCCAATGTTGTACTTTCATTCCCAGTAACACAGTTCCTGATGATACCATTACCAAAGCATTACAAGGGCTGACCACCTTAGCTAATGAACTCGCCGAAAATTCAGGCATAGATGACCTCTCTTCTAGTCTCATGGAACAATGGTTTGGAAAATATAGGTGCCTATTGTTAGAAATTAATCCCGATGTCACATAAAAGACACTCAGTGAGACTAAATTACTTTGGTAAAGCAAAATTTACTCCTGCAAGAGGGTGTGTGTGCATAGCCGTACATACAGGAACAGGCCAGTGAGCATACCAAGTGGGCAGTCCACTTGGGTTTTTTATACCTGACCTGAGTCTCAAAGCTGTGTCTCACCTATTGGCTAGAGTTTTGACAGCACAATCTTTCCCTTACCCTGTTGGCTAGTTCAAATTTTTAAGGCACGCATACCTACTTTAGGAAAAGAAAAAGAGAGCGATCATAAATTCATTACTCCAGGAAGTAGTTAAAAGAAAAAGAACACGATCATAAATTCTTTACTCACTTCAGGAAGTAACCAAAGAAAAAGAGAGAGTCTTTACTTCAGAAAATTAAAAAAAAAAAAAAGGTTACCCGAATACAATAAACAGGATTATAATAAATATGTGTGTGTGTATACATATATATCCACCACCACCCCACCCCCCATACACACACACTCTGACTTTGGTCCTCACCTCTCTAATTATCACATTAACACTAATGGCATGTTGTGGCATGTGGTTTAATGCGCCAGACTCTAAAGCCGTTTGAACTGAAAGGTCAGTTGGCAGTTCAAGTTCACCAGCTACTCCTTGGAAACCCTATACAGGGTCGATATGGGTCGGAATCGACTCAATGACACTTAACAACAAGATTAGTTTTAAAACTTATAGAAAGTCTTATTCAAACAATCCCCACCTTCATAACAAAATACCCTTTTCACTTAGAAACATATGATGACCAAAGTCAACGTCTCCTTACAGAGTTTGAAGCAAAGAATGAAGTCTAACAAGAAGATAAAGGGGTAAATGTGGGAACGAGTGTCTTTTCTTCAAAATTATAATAATCCTGTTTATTGTATTTAGGTGACCTTTCTTTTTTTTCTTTCTGAAGTTAGTAGAGACTTTATGATCTTTCTTTTACTTTTTACTACTTTCTGAAATGAGTAGGAACTGTATGACCTTTTTTGTTGTGGTGTTGGTTCCTGTACAGCTAGTACACGCACCCTTAATTTAGTCTCACCGAGCGTCTTTTTGTACAACATCGGAATTCATTTCTAACAGGAAATGAAAAAAAAAGTTCTTATTTCTTAAATGAAAATTCCATTTAATACATTTCTTAAATTGAGGCCCATCTGCTGTCTCTGCTGTCTTTCTCTTGCCCTACCACCCCCGGTCCGCCCCCTCAAAATAAGGGAAACCTGACGACAACCCAGCAAAGACGGCGGCAAACACGTGGGAGAAAGGCTCGCAGGGGCTGTCAGTAGCCTGGGCTGCGGACCTGCCTCGCCCCGCCCTTTCCACCGGAAGCTCGGGTGGAAGCTCTTCTCCGCCAGACTGCTTCCCCACCAGACTGCTTCCCCACCACAATGGATGGAAAGCGCAGATGGGTGGGCTAGTTTATCACCAACCTACGACCAACACTGTTGCCCTGGAAGGAGTCCCAAGGACCAGCAGTCCGGACCCTCACCTGTTAGATGGGACAAGAAGGACAGGGTCACAGGATAGACAGTGCCCAGGTTCCTCCCGTAACTCCCGTGATGTCTTTTGCAGTGCAGCGTCGCGCAGAGCTGACGTCACTGCGGCGGGAACAGACCTGGAGCTGTCGTCCTTTCGTGTCGAGGGCTGGGTGGGGACGTGAACGTGACGTCCCTGGAGGCGGGCAGTCCCGGGTCGGACGTGCTGTACAAGTGTGGCACCATATGCTGCGGCGCCCGCTGGCCGGGCTGGTGGCGGCAGCCCTGAGCCGAGCGTCTTCGGACGGTGAGTGGTGGAAGGAAGCCCCTCCGGGTGAGCGCGGTGTTGGGGCAGCTAGCGGGAGGCGTTTCCGCGCTGCCTGCTGCAACTCGGAGCGGCTGCAGGCCCACCCGGAGGGGTTTCTTTCGGAGGCGAGCCTCGTGGGGCCCCGGTCAGAACGATCTGCTAGTAGTGGTTTCGCTGAAGGTCCACTGCAGTCACCAGACTTTTGCGTGTTTGATTCCTATGTAGTTACATTTGAGGGAAGCCTTTGTACTTATGTGAGTGATTTGCAACACTCTTCTGAAACTCAGATGACAAAGAATCATTGTTTTCAGTACCTACTTCCTAGTTCTGAGCATTAAAGAAACTCGGTGTGTGTGCGGGGGGGGTAGGGAGGGCGGAGATTGCAGGTGAAATTTACCCGACCCCTGACGTTGATCTGTAATCACTGATCACTGGTCCTTGGACAGGTTCCAGTCTTAACAAAGCTCACTGCAAGCAAAATGAAGACAATATATACATTTGAAGGGCTGTCCCTTGTTCTAAAGCAGTGTCCTTTTTATTTTGCGTGTACGTTGGTTTAAAATGCCCAAGGTGTTTTGTTTGTTTTAATTTAGACAAAGGTGCTGTGAATGGACCAAAATTCGATGTCAAGGGTTTGGTTTTGTGTTTGTTGTTGTTGTTAAGTGCCGTAGAGTCAGTTCCACCGACCCATAGTGACCCTGAGCAGGGTTTCCGAGGCTGTAAATCTTTACGGGAGTAGAAAGCCTCATCTTTTTCCCAAGTAGCAGCTAGTAGTTTAGAAGTGCTGGCCTTGCGGTTCGCAGCCCTATTCATAACCACTACACTACCAGAGCTCCTTGGTTTTGTGTTTAAGCAAGTAGAAAATTGTTTCCCAGAGTTAGACATTATGTAAAGTCCTTGCAACCTGAGGACATGGTGGTGTATGCCTCTTGGGCACTGCATGATGAGAAGGGGCACTGAAGGGAGGGAAGCTGACCCTCTTTCCTGTGTTGGGCCACTCAACAGAGCTGACTGTTTCCATGGGACCAGGTTCCAAAGGCTACTTTTTCCAAAGACTGCTTTAGGTTACCCAAGGAGCCTCATACTCCTCTGCTTCGTGGGTTTCTGACCAGTGAAGAGAGCATGTAGAAATGTGTAGTATCTTTCCAGAACTCAAAGCAGGGTGGAGGTGACACTTGGGAACCCTTCCTGCTAGATAAACTCTCATGTTCGCTTTGTCCCCCGACCCCAGTTGTAGATGTAAGGTTGGCTAGGCTTATTGAAAGGACTCCTAGGAGGAGTATAGGTTCTTTACCTTCCCATAGCCCCATGCACCTGAGCAAGAGGTGTGTGGTGGGGGAGGGGAGACATGGGGAAGCACAGTAATAGGCAATATGCCTAGTGCATCTATCTGGTGACTTGGCGAGCAGCAAATGAGGTGTGCCAGTAGTCATCTTTCTATGGAGCAGGTGGGAAGCTGATTGGTTAGTTCTGTAGACCCAGGGTACGAGGAAGTGGGAAGTTTGCTTTTGTAGGCAAAGATTA